CGTAGCATAGATAAAATAATTCACGTAGATAAGAAGGAGAGCAATAGATTGCCCTTCAAATCGGAAATACATGCAGGGTTCAGTCGTACTTCTCTCCATTCCTTTTTCACTCAGCCAGCTGTGCAGCTCGTCGTACCATTCACGTCCACTTTCATGCAAACCATACAACGCATTCTTCACCTTGTAAACCCATCCTGGTTTGAGTGGGAATCCTATGATTCGTCGAATGAATGCGAGTTGTTTCTTCGGTGCATTCAGGTAGGCTGTGTTGATATCACCTTGGTAGGCAACCAAACGGTAAATTTGGCAAAGTGCAACAAACAATCTGAATGATGCCATTCGCGCCACAGGTGAGAATGTATCCAATACACTGAAGTCAATACCTGGTACCTCTTTGTCTCCACGAGCACAGAGGCGAGAGCGATAGCGCAAAATATTTCCAAAATCATCAGTCTTGGGCTGAAATCGCCACATCGTCTCAAGTGTTTTCATCCCTATTGGGATGTCCGTCTCCGGAACCAGCTCAAGTACGTATTTTTCAACCATTGCTGACACTTCTTTCTCCATTTCTTTCCACCATTCGGCTCTCTGGGGTGAGTTCATCGCCTGGGATACTGTTCTTGGGACTTTAAACTCCGAAATGTACCATGTGCGTTGCTGTGGCTGCGTAGGCGTCTCTGTAATAAGTGCAATCGCGGTTAGCGCAGCATACACTTGCATCTCGTCAGCAGTTAAATCTTCTTCTCCAGGCTTCGATAACTCTCTCATACCCCTCTTTAAGTGCTGTTTCTTCTCCTTTTCAGCACCATCTTTACTTCCATCACTAAGCGTATTCTCATCCACGTCGTCGAGCAGCGATCTTGCTATTAATTCTGCGTATTCAAATTGCTCTTCAGCTTCTTGGTCAAGATCCTCTGATTCTTCTTCCAAACTCGAGTCCACTGTCTCCTGACACGTGCTAGTATTTGGTTCACTATCATCGTCAACAGCAAGTCTGATGTGTTTCATACTGTCACCAACTCGTTTTCGACGATCCACTTCAGGATGCACCGCCATGGTGTTTCCAAAGCTTGGCAGCGGTTTCCGTAGCCATGGCGGCTCTCTGACGCTTGGGCCCATCAGATCTTGAGCTATGTTGCTCGGTATTGACGGTAGCATTGCTGTTATCTCCGTCACTCCCCCCTACGACTGGTGAGTCGTAATCATGACGGCCTGCGCTTGTTAGATCTGGTCGCTCAGCTAGCACCCAGTCTCTTACGCGGCAAACAAAATCAGTGTGGTGTCGATCTTTGTATAGCACTCGTTCGTTGGCAGTGATTTCTCCAGCAATTAATACTGAACCTTCTGCAGGAAAATAGACTTTGCATCCAAGAACTCCATCACGATAGCCAAGCACAAATCCAATCTTGCCGTTGTCGGCAAATTTGTGACGTGACGGCCCAACCTTCGTGTGTGCGTAGCCTAGAGCTCCGAATTTTCTAATATGGTGAATATCTGGGCGTCTTCCCCACATTCCTTCGTACGGCGTGCAGTTAATTGAACTTGAGAGTGATCGATTCTTAAGATACACTGCATAATACAGTGCTTCGATCCAAAATGACGTCGGGAAGCCCGATTCCTCCATCATTGTCTTCATCATACCAATTATCGTCTGACGGGTACGCTCCACCATGTTCAGCCGAGATGTTTTCGGTGGTATGACGGTATGTATTATGCCGTGTTCCTGGTACCATGTTGTGATCTGTCCATTCTTGAACTCACCACCGCCGTCTGTAATGATCTCATTCACCTTCCACTCTGGTGATTGCCTTTCAGCCCAAACGACATATCGCTTCATCAGTGCATTAATTTCCTCCTTCTGCTTGGTCTGCACCGGATAAATCGTTGTAAACCTCGTGTGAGCGTCCATTATCACCAATACTGCCTTGAAACGTACAGTTGTAGTGACTTGGCGAAAATAGCAGATCGGCAAACACTAACTGGTTTCGTCGTTTCACTCCACGATCTAGTTGTTTCAATGGTGTTTTTGCGCGTTGTTTTCCAAGTTGACAGGCTTCACACATGTCAAAGTCCCTCTCTCTTAACATCATCCCTTCAACCAAGTTTTGATCGGCCATTTGCTTCACAAATAAAGGGCAGATGTGGCCTAGTCGCTCGTGCCAGCTCTGCCAGTCTGCGACGCCATCACTAATTGCGTAGTTGATCATTGTCTTTGGCGCTGACTGGTTTTCTTCCGACTTTTTCCCTGGTAAGAATGAGTTGTCTGCTGTGAACGTCCACAGCTTGGACGGTTGTACCTGCACCTTAAGTGCTACTTCACCGTTCATTTTCAACGTGTATTCTCTCGTCGAGTCGTCATATGAGTTTTGGAATCCTTGCTCCGTTGCCGCCGACTGGGAGAGCAAATTTGTCCGATGTGGCGAAAAGTATACGTTCTCGACTCGAAGAACTACTGGATTGTCGTTAACATTGACCCATAAGTCAATTGATCCAATGCCGATTGGAGTACTCTTGCCGTTGTAGCCATGAACTGTAGCTCTATCTTGTTCTTCTAGCGTTAGATCACGGTAGTTGACAAAGTATCTCTTATCTCCGGCCATATGCTGTGTTGCTCCATTGTCGAACACCCAAGTCTCCGGCTGGTATTCAAGCTTCTGTTGGTACTTGGCAGTGCCTTTCTTCGACTGTGAACCTTCTCGTGAGTAGGCGCGTCCCTCCTGCTTTTGCGCAGATCCTTGTGGTTCGCGGCTAGCCACCCCCGACGAATGAGTGAAGTTGGCATGATTGCGGACGTTACCGACACTACTGCCATTTTGGCTCTTCGGCTCCGGCTTCATCTCTTCTGGGCAGTTTCTTCGAGTGTGCCCCGGCTGGTGACAGCCAAAGCAGCTCTTGTTCTCTCGATCTTCTTCATACTGGCGCTGCTGCTCGTCGGTTTTTCTCTTGAAGTACCCCGAGTACTTCTGACGGCCACCGCTGTTTATGGTAGACTTGTCCTTGTTACGATTCTGGTACTTTGGCATCGGCTTGCCACCGTTACTGCGGTCACCTTGCCGACCGCCTCCAGCTTCATCTCGTACATCGGGATTAATTCGAACTTGGGACTGTTTATCCACTAGCTCCTCCTTGTCCAGAACGAGGATCATTGACTTCACTTGATCTGGTGTCTTCATCGTGTGGAGGCCTCCAGTTAGCATGAGAGTTCTCAACTCTCTGTAAAATGGCAGCTGCGACACAGATCGAACCATGAAGTTGACCATCCAAGAGTCACTAACGTCTGCATCCAGTACAACCAACTGTTCGCGTAACCTCATCATGTACAGTAAGTGGTTCTCAACGTCTGCACCTGGCCGACATGATGCACTTTCGAGCTTCTGACGAACGGCACGTTGTGTGTACAGTGTAGTCATCTCGTTTTCACGCCCTTTCCAAGCGCGAAGCCAAGTAGTTCCACATGTCTGAACCCGTCGTCAAACCGCATTACTTGCTGGGCGAGGGTGCACGATAGTGAATATGCAATCAACTTGGCGAGTAACTGGTCTTGCCGCATAAATCGTTGCTCCTCCTCGTTACCATTGGTGTTTCGGTACTCAACACTTTCGTCACAGATGTCGTCCAAACGCCAGCCATTGTCCTCTACGTTGTAGCAAGTCAGGTATCTCATCATGGTGCGCTTGTAAAGAGGCCAATCGCGTCCATTCCAATTCACTGGACGGCCATCTTTATTCCACTCTACCTCCGCTTTCTTGGCTTCTGAGTCTCCGTTTCCTCTGTTCCGCATCGTTGGGCTCATAACCCTGTTACGTAATTGCGCTGGTATTCTGGACAGTAGCAGAAAGCGAATAAAATCTTGTTACTTCCCTTACTACCTCGACCGCATTCTTCTTGAGTATGCTTCTCTCTGAAAAGCAAAAGGCAAACTGTGGCCAGATCTCTTGAGTCCTTACAGCTAAACTTTCTGTCCTTAGTCTTCGACCACCTTTCTTCTCTGGGACTGTACGTGCTGTGCTTACTTATTCGTACAGCTCACCCAATATCTTAACAAAGTGGACCTCTCCGTCCAGCGGCTTCATGTATTATTAATAATAGGCGTCGCACCGCACCGCAGCCGTCCTTCGGTCGGGCTTTACATGTTAGCTAAAGACGTTTTACGCGGCTTTCCACGCAGCGTTAATCGATTTTGATATGGTGGGACACCTTTTGGAAGGATACAAATTGCTGACACGGTGACTAGAAGCAAATAACTTTGGCCTCTAGGCGTAATGATAACGGATGTCGCTACATGTAGAGTCGTGGTGTTAGCGATTTTGCTGTTTGGGTACATTCTTATATGTGGAAGATGCATGGAATAGATTATTTGATGTGCAAGAACACCGACGTCGGTTTACTAATGTCGGACAAGATTCTATTTTGTGGGGAAAAAATCTTCGTAATGTCGGATCCTGGATCTTGTCGAAGTGGTAAGGTATATCCTTTGGCGTCGTCGATCATACGCACGGATCCCCATGATGGGGCCCATCCGCTCGGAGGTCGAAGGGTGAGCTGCTTTATTCACTATCACACGCCACCACCAAAATTGTCAGCGTTTTACGCTATTTGCTCTAAAACATGCCGACATTATTTTGAAGAATTTTTTTTATTACTCTTGCATCTTGCTGTTGAGGCATACATCGCAAAGTCAGCTAACTGAGTGTGAACGGCACCAAATCCCATTTATACACGCACTCAGATCGATGACAGAGAATTCTGGTACCGCACGTAAGTGACACGTCAATGAATGCTTAACCATTCAAATCTATTGGGAAACTTTCCTGCCACACCGAATCACCACCGCAACGCTCCCTATACTACTGTATACAGTCGTGCACCTCGTCTTTGGCGGGGTGGACTATATAGAGTCTACGAGCTGCGAATTTTTATAGAGGAACAGATGAAATCCAAATGTACTACTTTGCATTACCTCAATTAAGTACAAATCTCAAATCCATCTTCGACACAATACCAGTGTGATTCCAACAGTTTCGTATGGTCATTGTCGATACGTCTTGCCAACCTTCTGAGCACCACTTCATCACTGTATAAATATTGACGGGGGTATACTTCTCGCCTTTGTAAAACATGTCCAGCTCTACCTCCCGCTTCTTAGCACGGTAGTGGTCCTTGAGACTTTTAATAATCCCTTGATTCAACGTAGAATAGGCGGACGGGCGACGTGCCATGGCGTTTTGCGACAAAATTTATAATTAGCTGTTGTATGGTGAAGTGATTGAGCTGATACGTGGCGGAAGTGCGGCGTTTCATCCCTTCTCGAGGAGGGGAATACCATTGAGGTTATTTGGTCCAAAGGAGATGGGCAACTCATTTGCGCAATGCATGTGGCGCAATCATTAGATTGTGCAGGTTATTAAGCCATACCGGGGCCGAAAACGAGGTGCACGACTGTACAAGTCTTGTGGAAAGCCGACTTAAATTTCAGATGGCATGTAATTAACACACGAAGATCGGCACCCCGCTCGCGAAGAAGAGTCCGACGTCAACCACTTGTGCCGAGTATCCACCCGCTCGTTGCCAACAATATGATGATCAAATCAAAGCCTCGATTGATCTACCGGTATTGATAAGACAGGAACAACAACGTCGTTGATCGCCATTACACAAACTAGAGGCGTTCCTACAGCTTCAACATACATTCCGTATTGAATACGAGGCACGTGACCTAGAAGTAGCAACCGTATCCAACATTGACACTGTCCGTCCTGCAAAACCTTGGCCATCAGATGGCTCATTCCTCAATTTACTCTCGACAATCAACATCGACAACTACAGTACCCGAACAACTACCACAACCATGAAGTTCTTCACCGCCGCATCGCCTCTCATCGCCGCCTGCGCTCTCACCGAAATCACGGTATCCGCACAAACCACGGGTGCTCCGTGGGGGTACAAGACCAACGACCCCACCATGGGCGGACCGGCGCAGTGGGCCGACCACTACCCCACGTGCGGGGGTTCTCGTCAGTCACCCATTGACATCACCACCACGACGGGAGGAAGTTTGGCAACACGCTCATTGGCATTCAGTGGCGAGTGTGCCAACTTCAATCTCACGCAAGCGACTGATACGTTCGTGGCAAGTGTCGTTGGCGGTAAGTCATTGTGCACGTATGAAATTGTATGGCTCTCAAAACGAATGCCTTCATGAAATCGATGTTGTTATTTTATCGTCCAATACAGGGTCCTGTGCGGCATCGGCGAATGGTGCCTCCTACAGCATGGCGCAGTTCCACATCCACGCCCCCTCCGAGCACACACTCGACGGGAAGCCGCTGGACGGAGAGGTCCACTTCGTCCACAGCAACGCCGACGGCTCTGCTCTTATGGGCGTGGGTGTCTTTCGGCAAGTAGCGAACGCAGGCACGACGGATTCGTGAATGGTCTCGGTGCTCGACGGGATGGAAGCTGTCACGCCGGCCGCTGCACCCACGATGAACCTGTAAGTTATCAGCCCCAGAATGGCTGACCCCAGAGCAGATTACTAACATTTGTGCCTTATCGCTTCTATTCAGTGGCTCGTACGCTAATGTCGTGAGCAGCAACGCCGTCCGCACCTACAACTACCCGGGTAGCCTCACGACTCCTGGTTGTGACGAGATCGTCGACTGGTGGGTCGTGCAGCAGCCCATGTCGATCTCGTCGGCGGACTTCACCCGCTTGCCGACACAGCGGAAGGAGCTGTCCGTGACGGACAATGGCAACAACGCTCGCCCCGTGCTACCACTGAACGGACGCACCGTCGTAAGTCTGCAGTAGGCGCTTTGAGGTTTTGTTTATAGACCGTATAGATTGTTGCTTTGATCAATAATATTGAAACGGTTTGCATCACTTTGTTCAACTGTCGCTAGTGCATCTTGAGTTTCTGGCTCGCTTTGTGTGAGTACTAGTATGTGTCGTTTCGGTGGGAGTAGAGTGTTATTTGTAATAGCTATTGTCAAGGCAAATAAATATTATGGAAAGAGAATAATCTTCTTTGAAGTATTTTTTTAAGTTTAGGGGGATTGTCAATTACCTGTTCCGGAAAGATTTGCATCAGCTTCAACTTACCGATGAAATTCCATAATACAGTACCTATGTACTGGGTTAATGCCAATCGTTAAAAAACTACTATTCAAAGTGGAGCACACAGTTCACAGATCATATGTTGGCATTTGTAGAAAACGAGCTCATTGTTAAGTACGCATGCAAGTACATGTAAATGATAGGTGCTGATTGGATTGTAAAAAGTAAGAATTCCTCATTACTCTCCATTCAAATACGTATATATATTTTAATAGTCCACGTCTTGTGAATGTTTGTCCTGTATATCACGTAATTAGATCATGAATCTTAATAAATTAGACTACTTTTGCCTGTATTATTTAAAGAGTTGAAAGCACTGTACTTCTCCTAATGTTTCTGTCCTTTGCAGCAGACTCATATTAAGATATAAAAAGTCTAATCGAGTAGTTCTCCCGACCGATACGCTGACAAGCTGCAGACGAAATTGCATACATGAAAGCGTAAAGTTGAAGGAGGATATACGTCTCTGCAAAACCACTGCTAATAGAAAATTGCTAAACCGTGCGATTTCTTATTAGAAATAAAAAAACGATTAAGCCCTTCCAAGCTCATATTTAAGCAGGGTGAAGTGCTCTGACAACCGGCCAGTCTAGCATTTACAATGTCACCCGCTAATAAGAGGAACAAACATATCAGAATCATGGAACGCAGGCTCGACGACTCTTTCTACTGGCTCACTAGCAATCCCAACATTATGAACTGTGACGGGGTCACACAGCACCTTGCGCTAGAGTAAGTTAGCTTCCGAGAGTATACAAGCTCTTAGTGAACGGCAGTTCACAGGTCCCCTCTTTACCAAAAGAGAACGAAGTGACCTATTTAACCCCTTGAGCCCGAGGTAGTACCGTACCCCCTTGCTGCCGAAACCCTAGGCGCTCTAACGTGTATCTGCGGGTAAGGGCTAGTATGCAAAACAATATATAGTTTGGTAACGTGTATATGTGATAGAATCATGTTAAACCTAAACATCGTGAAAGACATCTTTCACTATGGTGTATGGTCCAAACTGACGCCTGAAAGTATACATGTTTGCACTAATAAACTGAATGATGAGCAGCAAAGCGAGTACATAATTGTGACAGAGTTGTTCAATTGCAGAGCAGACACGTGCCCGGAAAGTGCATAACAACGCCATCACAAAACATGTGCAGCGGACCAGAATTCTATGATATTAGTAATACAAAAATCAAATGAAAACGACAGACGCAATTGATTTTCAATCCGTCCCCGCTGCGTTGGTTGAGCGACGGGCGCGCTTCTGCTGGCAGGAGTTGCTTACAATAGACTCGTTACTGGAATCCTCATCGCTGGCACTGCCTAGGGCCGGATGTTGCGCAGGAGCCCGTGCACGAATTGTCCGTTTGACCCCGCGCTGCGGAGCAGGTGCCAGGGCCCCATTGCGCCACGACTTGTGCCAGATGTCGAAGCAGGAGAGCAGCTCGCCCTTCAGGGTGTGGCGTTTCTTCTCGCACAAGAAGACTCGCCAGGCCATAGTTTTCTTGGACGCCGTTTGTAGCCTGCACGAGCTACAGTAAGTCGACGAATCACCGCCACGACCGGCCCTAGTGCCTTTTAGCAATGAGCAAACTTTGCAGGCCCTTGTCCGTCGCTTCCGCCCTTGATTGTTGTTGCCTGGCCTCCACTCGTCGTTAAGTAGCGGCTTGTGGCTCCCACGGTGGATTCTAACAGCATTAGTATCCTTTAAAGGCGTTGCTTGAAAGGTCTCGTCGGCAATAAGTCCTTCCCAGTCTTCATCTCTAAGCTGGCAAAGCTCGAGGTGAAGTTGTTTTAAAAACTTGACATGGCTAGTTTTGGGGAGATTGGAAGCTGCTCGAGCAGCATTGAAGACGATGTAGGAGTTGATAATCGCTAAATCAACGAGGCCTAGGAACAGACCTATGTAGTACTTCTTGTATTTGATGCATAGTTGCAACGAGTATCTGCACCATGTACCATACACGATTAGGCATTCTGAACTTGCACATACAACATAACAGACTTACCGTTGTAGACGTAGCTGGTCATGGACATCGACGCCACCCATGTACGTCTGATAGTCCTTCACAATGCGCGGGCAGACGACTTCGAGCTGCTCTCCTGTCAGCTTGTCCCGACGTACAATACGATCTGGCTGCACAGTCCCGCCCGTACTCAGCATGTGAACGGCCCGTGTGTCCCACCAACGCAGCACATGCATCACTGGTACCGACACGGACTCAGCCACGATGAACGTGCCCCGCTCAATGTTTGCTGGTCTGTTCTTTGGAATCTTTGGTGGTTTCTTCTTGTCTCAGCCTGTTTCTTTGGGATCAGCTTTGTACTCAGTCCTTGGCGGTCCGTCCGAACCGTACCAATAGAGTAGAATCCCATGGTCAGGAGCTGCATTGATAGCGGCACAGAAGAATAAAACCGGTCCATGACAACGAGTCGCATTTCTCCATTGGGTGGTGCAGTAGGCCCAAACACTTGCTTCAGGTTGCGCACGACGGCAGCAGGGCCAGACTTTTGGTCAGCGGAACTTCCCTGGCCCGATCTCTCTTTTTTTCCACAATACACTTCAAAGCTGTATCATACAAGATAATAGAACACAAGCTAGTATCATACACGATAACAATACTTTGGAACCAAAAAAAAAAGCAGGCGTGCCCGGAGGCACGCCTGCTACTCACCGTATACAATATGCTGAATTGAAGCAGCACAACATGAACAGCTTCGTGCTCCACTTGTGGGGCTTGTCCTTGATGTACACGCGCATCCTATTGAAGGTGGAGCGGGACGGCAACATCGCTTCGTCAAACGCCATGATGGCCGGCGGCGTATATCCAGAAGCAAACCGATCTTTAGGTGCGTCTACGACAGGCCTTAGCTTCCACGCGCGATCTGTCGCCGCTCTTGGGTATCTATTACTGCTGAATTGCAGATTCCGGGATATATGCATGAATCGGTCGCGCGTCATAAAGCGCCCACAGCACCCGCGAGGAATGGCGCCTTCCTCTCTCGTTTTCCAATGGTTTGCTAGCTTTTCCTTGTTTGGAACTACGGATCGGGCCAGCAATAGACCTATGAAAACGCACAGCTCTCGCGCCTCGATAATTGGTACCCTTCGGACTTCTTCACGGATTTCTTCTACCGACTTGGCTTTGAGCTGTGGATGCTTCAATTCCCGAGCGAGCTGCTTCGCATGTGTTCCTTGTACACGTTCATCAAGACTAGCTTCGAAGTAATCGCTGGATTCAGCAGCAATATCCTCCCACAACTGCGGTTGACGGAAATAGAAGAAAGCTCCGGAAGGGGTTGCAGCTGCGGCCAAGGCCCGTGGAATAGGTCCGGACGCACCATCGTACAGTTGCGGGTAGTCCTGCCGCAATGCTTCAGGCGAACTCGACTCATACGGCTCTTGTAGATACGTATAGGGTGTATGCGTCGTCAAATCCGACCAGCCATTAACGCCGAGCTCCTTCAAATACGCATCTGGTACTACATTCGATGCAATGTCATCCACACCACCGAGTGCTGAGAGTAATTCGTCGTCAAATTGCATTTCGGGGGGGCGCAGGTTCTTGTGCCACGTCATCATCAATGGCATCGACAAACTGGTCGTCTTCGTCTCCATCATCGTTCTCGGCGTCTGACTCAAATGTTGCAAATATGCTGGGGTCATCGTCGTTTAAAATCTGATTCACATCTTCACATACAGCAAATAGCAACGATACAAGTTAGTATTCCTGTATATCATGTACATACAAGCTACCAGACAGACCATTATGCCGCGTGTCTTCCTTCGGTTCTTCTTCCACCCCAGATTTCCCCGGTTGACCCACACTGCTTGTAGACTGATTAGATTCTTTGTCTATCTCAACTTGATCGCCAGGTTGGTTGTCGGCTTCGGGATGATCCGACGCATTGCTGCTCAGTTCGGCTTCTTCAAAGTCTGGACCCAAGTTTCTTTGACTAATCGGAGAGTCTTCAATACAATAAGACGCCACATACAAAATTAGTTCAGTCCAAACGTGTATCATACCAGATATTACCTCCTGGGCTTCCGATGGGATGTTCACTATTGCCGCTGGGAGAAAGAGCTGTGGCCTTGGGTGAATCAGCTTGTAGTGGGCTCTTTGGTGGACGTAAAGCAAGATCCGGTGGTGTACCGGAAGACGATGGTGGGGTCTTGTGTGACGGACTTTCGGCACATAGACGAAGTGGGGTGGTCTCGAGAAGCTGCCGCTGAGCCGGTGCGGGTGAATGTAACGGGGGACTGCCATCGGATGAAGAAGGATTCGATTCTAACTTTCAACATACACGATTAGCAAAACGTAAACATGTATCATACAGCTCACATTACACGTACGCTTCGCTGTCACAGGTTTGGCAGCTTTTGCAGCGCTTTGACGTCCAGCATTCGCAGATCCATCACGTCTTGCCTGCTTCTTTGCTCAAAGAGCCGCTGCTCACTTAGCACAGTCAGTACAGATCAAAGACATCCAACAGAATATATAGAGCAACTTAGGTCGATCTTGTCCAGGTACTTCATCAGGGCCTCCTCGCCAATAAACACGCCCTCTCCTTCGACATCCTTGATCGTCTTTCCAGGCTTTAGGTAGATAAAGTCGACCGAAAGGCCTGATGGCTTCCTTGAGGTCCAGCCATCCTTTTTCATTTCACGCCATCGCGCCCGGAATGCCATTTTGGGGATGTGTGTTTCTTCGCTCGAGAGGGGAAATCCAGAAGTGAGCCGCAAATTTGTGCGGTGGGAGACGTCCACCTATAAACAATCATATGTAATTTGCTGGTTTGATCTGCACGCACTTTCTATCTGTATCTTCTATGTTGGTGTGTAGTATCTGTCGGGAAAGCATGGAATCGTCACCTACCCCTATTTGAGTTGGAGTTTGTAACGACCTATACAAAAACCAAATGTAATATTTCTTAACTTGTATGGTCCACGTTAAGAAACTGGCCTTATCTTGTAAGGTCCAGGCTCTCGGGTTCAAGGGGTTAAGGTAGAATGTAAAATGAGTATATTTATAGGTAGATAAAGCTTGGGCTTAATACAAACTATAAGTCACTTATAGAAATGCAATGTCATCAACCAATGGCTGGCTTTGGACGGCCTTGGTACCTAGTGCCAAATATCCCGAAGTATGATTCATGTAACCAGGATACACTTAGGGATACGTACCCCGTTACAGCCCCCCCCACTTAGGTTCGGTTTACCGACCAATCAGAATGAAGAAGTGTTCGTCACTACTTTCATTCTCAAAGTCGAAAACCATCGACTTGGCCGCGCGACCGCGGCGGAGGCTCACTTCACAGTTAGAGCCTCGAGCAGCAGTCTGTGCGCTCTTCTTCTAGGTCTTCCACTCCTTCCGACTGTGATTGTCCTTGGAGGTGGATATCACTGTGCGATGTAGCAACACTCGACGTAGTTACTCCCGAAACCAACCCAGTTGTACCCCCCTGGTTTTGCCCACTCATGTTCATTACGACCGGTGCTGCTTTTTCTCGATAGCACTGCTTACTGCAGAACGAAGCGTCTCCAAAATCCAGTATCTGCTGTCCGTCCGGGTCGTACAGATCAAGTGCTGCACAAACATCATGAGAGCAAAAATGATGCATAAATGCACCACACGTCGTGCACGACCGCTGGGTCGAGCACGGTGATTCACAAACTGGACATATTGGAGTCGAAACAGTAGACTTTGTACGTGATTGCTGAGGTTCATCGACAGTAGACGTATGAACACATATTTGTTCATCCACGACACCAATAGTAGCTTTTGGTATCGTGTGAGCCACAGGATTACCATCTAGCTGTCTAGTGCGTCTGTCGTCGTCCTTGTCACAAGTATCCAAACTTATATCTCCTTGCTCAGGTATTGAAGCAACATTTCCAGCTGTAGCACCAACTTGTAGGGCATCAAGCTCATCAATCGCACTGCTCTTCGTACCTACATTAGCACTATGCAATACTCCGACCGAGTTACCAGTTTTCACGTAAGGTGCTTCATCTGCATACGCACTGTTGAAGTACTCAACAAGTGTTTCTTCCCCCAAGAAATAGTCTTGACCATTTATTCCATTTGGGTTGCCTCCAGGACGAACGTAGCGATAGCGCAAATCCAAACTTCTACTCGACGAGGGTTTATAGGACCATCCCACACGGCGTAACACTTTCCAAACGTCCTTGAAATTCACAGAATTATCTGTTGCATAAAATAAGAAACAAACATGTTATCACCTGCTACCCGTAGTCTATAGTCTAGTGACTATACAAGTGCCACACCTCGAGAAAGCTGTGGTGTGTTGCTGGCTTGAGACCTGCGCTGACGCTTTGAAGCCCGCTCAGCCATCTCTGCGCTCAGTTCCTAACTCCTCTCGCTCGCAGCTTTTCAGAAGTGAGGTCCAAATTGGACCTCCGAGATCCACTCTGCCTCCATGGAGCATCGCCACCTTCTTCCACTGTGGCAAGGCTGTCATTCACGGTACTGCACCTTGTGCCAATGTTGGGATAGAAGGAAGATTTTCGTGTTTTTTCGACGAATCATCAGTGCCGTCAATTATTTTCAGCAAATCATATTGCAGCAATCTGAACCATACATTATGTACTGTTTTGATCAAACCCTCTCAAATGCGATTAATAAGCTCGCAAACCCCTTCGCAATTGATATACTAAAACCCTACATGATGTACGGTTTTGAAAGTTTAACTTGATTAAAGTATGTAAGGCTTAATATAGAAATGAATGGGGGTGACGAAAGGGTTAATCATTTCTTTCGAAAGGTTTCTACTATAATACGTAGTATTTAGATTCGAAATGCGTCAGCCCAATGCAGAAGAGCGTCGTCGTCAAGCCATAGGAGAACCATTGGCATTGATAATAGAACGGCGAGCGTCCCGATATATGGCTTGCCGACGATGGACAATTCGGTGTTTGCCGACAGAGCTTTCAAAGTAGGGCTACGGGCTGATGCCGATTCCGATATTGGTGAAGTAACGTCAACGCCACTGCTCGGAGCTGCAAGTCTAAATGACCCACGTGTTTCCAGGGTCATTGCGCGTGGTAGTGGAACATTTGACATTGTCCACGGTGTTCCATTAGAAAGAGCGACAGCAATAGCGTCGAAACATTCCTGTAGATTGGTGCCATCTTCCGAAGAGCACTCGAAAAAGTGTGAAGCTGCGATCAAGTTGCCGAATCCTCGTCCTACATTTTCCGAAACTTGGCGTGTTGCGTTTGCGAGGTCACATTTGTGTCCAATGAGTACGAAGGAAAAGTTTGAGTCTGCCGGCTCTGTACTTCGGTATGTTTGAATTTGCAACACCCATTGCAGCAAACTAATGAAACTTTGCCGATTTGTTACGTCGTACACAACCAACGCGGCATCTGCAAGACGAAAGAATGAGCTTGGCAGTCGAGCGGCTCCGAATTTCTCTTGGCCTGCAGTATCCCACAGTTGCACCTGCAATGGTGCAGAGGCACCTTCCACGAGCGCTATTTTTGACAAGTAGTCTTTGCGAATTGCAGTACCGGTCAAATTTCCTGAGTTGGTCATTCGGCGCACTAAACTCGACTTTCCAACACCGCTGTCACCGAGTACAATCACTGTAATATTAAGAATATATCTTGTGTTAGATCTCCTAACACAAGCAACAGGACTATTGCTGTTTTACCTTTGTAACTCTCACACTTCTTCTTTTTCGGGCTGGAAGGCATGATCGAAAATTCTACATGTTGTGAGGAGGCCATCGAGTAATACTACGCAGTGTAGCTGTAGGTGAGGAAGAGAGAAATGCTTTGTGCGGCTCTGGAGCTAGCTAGCGTACTAGCCATCAGCAAAACACCGATCTATGAAGACAATAACGTTTATTCTTCATCAACCGAAGTTGCGGTGCGATACGAGCCACAACCCATGCTTCTATCCTTCTCTAAGCCACAATGACTACACCAATCAATGTTCCTGAAAATGTAGAAGGCGCACTACTGAAAGTAAAACGTTCCAGCAATTGGCTTCGCTTGATAAAGAGTCCCCGAACGTCGACCCAGGTAGTCGCGCACACCGAACTCTTCCTTAAAGTATAAAATAAATTTTCTTTTTCATATTCGCAAACCCACTTACATTTCCACAAACACGCCTGACATACCCTCTACGTGAGCGACATGGACAACAACTATACACTCATTTTGCTTTTTGCGTGCAATCCACAAGGAGCGAGAGCTTATCACCCGTCACATGACGTGCAGGAAAAGCTACCAAAATCATCCTCCGAAATTTACAAACTTTAATCCGAAAATAAAGATTATCAGCCAATCCGTGGTCTCAACAGTATTGTCGTATCCCCGATGGCTCTCCAAGGTCGGGTGTTCGACCTGTGGCGTCACTTCCGGGCGCTTCCAACCGCGCTACAGCACGATGTGAGTAGAATCCAGACCCACCTTTTATCCCCGGAGGTCAAGAAGCAGCTTTTTACTCGCTCTACATTCCCAAAAGTCTCCGGAGACAATCTTTTGCGTGTCATCAACCGAGAACTCGAGCAACAACAAAAGAACAATCACTCCCCCGAATACACTGCAAAAGTAGCCGATGGTTTGGTGCAGAGCGGCTTTCTGACGCCTAAAAAGAGCTCGAATCTCGTGGAAAACTTCAATTTTAAGACACTAAACTCGGAATTCCTGGCGGTCGGCAATGGACTTGCCGACGTAAAAGCCAGGTCGGTCTGGAGCGTCAAGAGTGGAGCCATCCAAGCAGGGACTTTGTACCGAAAGAAAAAGGGGGTTTTGGCCACGCTTTTAGGTAAAACGGAACCATTTTACGTGGTGGTCAACGACCAAAGCAAGAATGTTTACGTCTTCAATACGGACATGGCCTTGGAAAGTTGTACCGAAATTAACATGGCCGATGATGCCACAGTGGAATTTAGTGATGCTATACAACACGGTATTAAGCTAGTAAACCCAAAGATCACGGAGATCTTTTCAGCCGAGAATAAAGAGAAGCAGGAGGAGTGGCTTAACTCGTTCATCAACGCTGATGCGCAGTACCGTGAGGTGTTCAACGTGGAAGATACGGCCAAGATCAAGTCATTTTATGAGCTGAAGGACTTCAATATGGCCGGCAATGAGGTGTCCATGAGCAAATACAAGGGCAAGGTGGTGCTGGCCGTGAATGTGTCAAGCAAATGCGGTCTGACGCCGACGAACTACCCGGAGCTGCAGACGCTGTACGAGAAGTACAAGGACGAAGGTCTGGAGGTGCTGGCGTTCCCGTGCAACCAATTCGCTGGTCAGGAGCCTGGCACCCACGAGGAGATCATGGAGTTCGTGAAGCAGTACAATGTGACGTTCCCGTTCTTCGAGAAGCACTACGTGAACGGTGCCACGGCTCGTCCGGTGTTCACGTACCTGAAGACGAAACTCCCTGGTTCTTTTGGTGACTTTGTGAAGTGGAATTTCACCAAGTTCCTGGTGGACCGTAATAGACAGCCGTACAAGCGTTTCGCTCCGAAAGACCGTCCGTTGTCATTGGAAGAGGATATCAAGACGCTGTTGGCGCAGGAAGAGTAAACTGCCTCGGAAACTAATTGATACGGCCGAAATAGTACTTGATCAAAGTACTATTTTCTGAAATTTGTCGGCTGGAGGTGATTTTTTGTGAATTCTATTTTTTCCCTAAAGTGATGTTAATGTGCCAGCAGAGTAGTTTAAACTTCAAATGTTGCGAGTCCATGAATATCAATGGTGGCGAAATCACAGTTGTATTGTACTACTCGTATTCGTCCATGCTATATTGCATGAACGCGGCAATTTTGCTCAAGGTGTTGCCCAGCCCGTGTATGAATTTAGCAAAGGGCTGAAAATAGCGTCAGAGCGCGTATTTTGAGATGATCGGTATTGACAGGGAATGATACTGCGTATTGGGGTGTCAGTTTGTGTATGATTTGCCCGAAGGTGTGGCCGATAAAGACACATTCTGAAGAACGAGGGTCGCAACGATTTGTAAAGATCCGTGCAGCAATTAGCAATTGGGTACTGCAAATTCCACTCCAGTTGGATATTGCAATATATAGCTTTCATGCAATCTCTCCTTTAATTGCAATACATTTCCGGCGAATAATTCAATTCATTTTTCCTTTCCTGATCTGCTCGTACTATTTTGGAAAAATGCCAACATGGGATGGGCACTCCGACCGTTAACCATGCCTCGTGGCACAGCAAAAAGCGGTGCGAAAACACGCTCCAAGGCTGCTGCCGGAAAGGCGCAAGCCAACAGCACTAAGTCTCACGGCAAAGGCTCGGCACTTAAGGAGGCTACTCAGGTGGCCTCCTTAAGTGCCGATCGGTTCCTCGGGTGACGCGGCGGTGGGCAAGCGAGCAAGGAAGCAAGCACCGCAGCCCGTCGCCCTCGGCCTCCCCAGCCAATCGGCCGAACCTTCGGCTCGTAGCGCGTGAGTTCGACTCTGGCTGTGAGGACGAAGCCGAGTCCGAGAGCACGCACGATGCTCCTGCGGGCTCTGCGGAAGGGTACAGCCCAGTGCCTAGCGAGCTCAAGGATGACAGCGTGCAAGAGCTCGCTAGTGATCAAGGTGATCGCAGTCACAGGACGTCTGTGCGCTCTAAGAGTCCGGCCGTCAAGGCCAAATGCACTCCCAAAACTGGTGGCGATGAATAAGAGAATCCTCGCAAACGGCTCTCGCTTGCCGAGGGCCTTGCGCGTGCTAAGGCCTCTGAAGCTGAAGGCGCCAAGTCCTCAAGAAGCGTACAGCCTCTAAGTCCCCACTCCGCGAGGAGAAGGAGACTCGGCACTCCCATCGGGGCATCTTTGACTCCTCGGATGAAGAGGAGGAGAAGGAGGAAGAAGAGGAGAAGGAGGGTGCTATCTCTGCTCCCTGGGAGGTAGCGAATGACCTCGACCAGCAGCAGGAGGACTTCCAAGCTGCCCAGCGTGTGCGTGGGGGTTCGGTGGTGGCACCCGTCAGCCAGGGAGCTGCCATCAACTCGCGAGGGTATTCGCCTCCCGAGGAAATCTCTGGGGCTGACCTCTTCCTGGAGCTTCTCGTTGCTCCTCGTAGCCTTGTTGGTGCCTCTAGGGGTATCTACGAGCGTACTCTTGTTTAGAAAGAGCTGTTGTTTGCTGACAACTTGGAGGCTGCTCGGTGTGTGCTTCTTGCGCCACATCGCATCCCTCTCAAGGACTTCACTACGTGTCGTAAGAAGCCCGAGAACCGGGGTTGTCTCTATCCTCACTGGGGATACCCCTGGGTTCTGCCCGAGAACTGTTCCACCTGGAGTTCTGGTGAGGACATGTTCTGGGCATGGATAAAGTCTCTCAAGTACTCATTCACGGAGTTACGGGAACTCCAAGAAGATCAGCTGCTGTCCCGCATCATGGGCCAGCGTGATCTTCGTGCTCGGTTTTCCCACTTGGTCAGCAAGCGCATGCTGCCAAGGGACATCCTGAAGCGCGCGGCTTCCAGCGCACACGATGAGCGCGGGTACGGAATGTATTCATCGTCCGTACCCCGTTCGGGCAAGAAGCCCCGGACTACTTATGAAGCTGCCGCCGCTTCTGTTCATAGATTGCGACAGCCTTCGGGCAGTCAATCAGGAGCCGTTCAATCGGCTCCCACGAGTTCTCGGAGTGGGCATAACCCCTCCACTTCACGAGGAGCTGTTGCTTACCGCGACGCCATTGCTCCTGGAGGATCCGCTCCACGTGGAAGTGGACTTCTCCATTTCGGTCAAGCAGGGGCGGAGGTGCCCTTGTACGAGTACGAGTACCCGGCGCCTCCTGAACGCCACTCTCGTCCAAGTGCTTCTTCTACGGGTCCGACACAGGGCCCTGAGGTTGACCGCCTCTGTCAATGTGTTCTCGTGCTTGAGATTGCACTTGGCCAGGGGACTGACGGTGATGCTGCCGCCCAGGCCGGGAATCAGGGCGAGCTCGCTCGTCTTGCGGGCCGCCTGGACCTGCTGGAGCGTGAGGTCGCGAGCATCTGCGGGTGGATCGCCGGGCCTCTTCGACCGATCTGGATGGGGCCTTCCGCATGATCCGACGGATGGAGGCTCTGTTGCCACGTCCGGAGCCGCCTTCGACGTACTCATAGACGTACGCGTATGCTGCGTACCCGGCGTACTCAGCGTACTCGGCGTATGGCTCCGAGGTCCGTTCGTACGGAGCTCCTCCTGCGTACGGTCTTGACCGCAGCTTTGCCGTCCAGACCGAGGCTTGGGCGCCTGCTCTGACGCCCTCGTCGACGTCTGTGACCCTCCCTCGCTTTGAGGAGCTGGGCCAAGGTGGGTCTGCTAGTCAGCAACCCCCTGCGGATCAAAGTACCGCCTAAGACGTCCAACATAGAACGTCGGGTGCGTCGTCATTGACTTTGACAGGTCGATGGTGTGCGACGAACTATGTCTGGCCACGACTGCAAATGGTCCGATGAAGCGGTGCTTCAGCTTGTTGCTGCCGACAGAGCTGACAGTGTCAAGAGGTAGGTTCCTCGTGTCTAGTAGCACTAAGTCCCCCACTTTAAATACACTTAAGTTTACTCTTCCATGTTTGTTGGAGTACTCCTTTTGTTTATCCTGGGCCGCTGCCATTACATCGCGGACCCTGCTGACAACGCCCAGCTTGGTATCCATAAAGGGTTCCACTTGTTCCCGCAGCGAAACAGGCCTCACATCCGAGACCTGGGAGGAAAGGGCTTTCCGGGCCTCCCCCCCACTTAGAATAGAGGCGTCAGTGTCTCCTTGAAGAGTGAGAGGACTCTGGGGTGACGTAAGCCGTTCCAGTAGAACGGCGTGAGCCCCTCGGACGCGTGCACTGCGTTGTTGAGCGCAAACTCAACAACTGGGAGCTGCGTCGACCACGTACGTGGTGCTGCCGCGCACACACTGCGCAGAGTTCCCTCAAGCACTCGATTGACGCGCTCTGTCTGGCCGTCTGTCTGTGGATGATCCGCAGTGGACATCTGCAGACGAGTTCCCAGTATAGGAAACAGTGTTTTCCAAAACGCAGCCGTGAACCGCGGGTCTCGGTTCGAGACAATCGTCTCTGGGAGACCGTGATAGCGGAACAGCCCATCGACGAACAACCTTGCGGTTTGTTCGCCCGTAACAGTGACGGGAACCGGAGCAAATGTACCATCTTTCTCAGCCCACACACGAACACCAAAATTCCGGTATTGCCGTGTCCGTCGGCGGGAAGCCCAAAGATTAAGCCAAGCCTCATCGACTTCCAACAGTCAGCCGGGACGGGCAGGCTCTGTAGTGGAGCCGAAGAATGTCCTGCGGGTATGACCCGCTGACATGTTTCACATGTCCTCACGTATCGGCCGACCCACTTGTGCATGTGGGTCCAACAGAAGGCCTGCGAGCCGACAGAAAGGTCTTCTCGCGGCCCAAGTGGCCGCTGGAGGGTGCGTCGTGCGCCTCCGCGAGGCTGTCGAACTTCAGATCCTCGTCGTTGGGTACGACCACCCGTGGAGGTTCATTGGGCTCCACCCGGTAATAGAGGAGGCCATCCTTCAACTCATATCGGTGGAGCCGTGAGCGCTGTGGCGACGAGATCCAGTCGGACTTCGCGCTCGCTCCTGCCGTGAGGAACTTGACGATAGGCGCGACAGCCTCATCGTCCCGATACGCCATACGTATCCGATCAAATAGATCCGCTGTCACCCGTGTGATGTGGGCCAACTCATAGTCAGGACGCCGAGAGAGGGCGTCCGCAAGCACGTTCAGCTTGCCCGGCTTGTGTTCGACGCGGAAGCTGTACTCCGCGAAGAAGGACAGCCACCTCGCCATCCTTTGGGAGAGGTGAGGCGAGTTAGTCGCCGTCCTCAAGGACGCGTGGTCTGTGTAGATCACAAAGGGCCTAGAGCCCAGAAGGTGAACACGGAACTTCACAAGGGCATATTTCATTGCCAAGAGCTCCTTGCCGTAGACAGGGTAGTTCCGTTCGGCGGCTTTGAGCTGCTTGGACTGGAACTAGATGACTCGTTCATGTCCAGTCGTGTCGGCCTGCAGCAATGCACACCCGATGGCGTAATCGGAGGCATCGCAGACGACGCTAAACGGCTTCGTCTCGTCCGGCAGGGCCAGGACAGGGGTCTCTTGGAGACTGGCCTTGATGCTGTCAAAGGCATCCTGGTGCTCTCGCTCCCAGTGCCAGTCGACGTCCTTCTGAAGGAGGCCCGACAAGGGCTTAGCGAGACCCGCGTACCCTGCGCTATACTTGTGAGGGTAGTTGGCCAAGCCCAACCACGTTTGAAGATCCTTTTGGGATCGGGGCGTCTGCCATGCTGCTAGACCTTGACCTTGTCTGGATCAGCCCGAACGCCCACGTTGCTTACGAAATAACCGAGAACTTGAATCTCTGGTGACACGAAAACGCACTTGTCGATGTTGGCGTAAAGCTTGTTCGCTCGCATTACGTCCAACACTCGACGGAGGTGCCCCAGATGCACCACCATGGCCGTCTTGCCTCCCTCGGCACGGCTATGGACGAATATGTCGTCGAAGTACGTCTGTGCGAAGGTACGCAAAGGGCGGAACAGCTGCGTCACCAG